TAAGTGACAAATCACTTTTACGATCTCATTACGGTACTAGAAAAGCGACAGCGTAATGCCATACGTATGGAAAATATCACGTAATTATGACACGATAAAACTCGGTTACAATAACGGACTTACGCCTAATAATGGAAAACGACACCATATCAAAACAATCATCATCATCATCATATCAAATATACCAGAGGGAGACTTTGTACAAAAGTCGTTTGCTTGGGCACCTCTGTCCCATTCGTGTTTCAGTTTTAAAGCAGTTGTGTTTGCATGGCTGTGTTTCGGTTTGAAGGGTGGGATATGGCGTGAATTTACAGGGTACAGAATAATAACACCTGAGTCCTCAGGAATGGCAACGCATGGGGGGTATCATGAGCGAAACAGTATACTCTCTTATGTCCATGGTACTGCTTATGTCTATAGGCGACGGTTACCACTTTCCATCAGGTGGGCCGTCAGCTTGTTTGCCATTCTAAGTTGTATAAAAAAAAATTATCAGCCTTTAATTGTCCATTGCTGAACACAAGCCTCTTCCTAGCGGGGGTTTTCCAGCAGTTGCCACGCTTGGCAGACGGATTGGCAATCGCAGTTAGGCTTTGGAAATGTTTTAAGAAGGACTCTGCTGCCCATCCCCCGCCCTCCCTTAGTCGCCTCTTACGACACCCACGGGAAAGGAAAGTGGTGGTATATTCTATACAAAAACAATGTATGTGCCAAACTTTATAGATATACTATATCATTATATACATACACATATACATATACATATACACATATACATACACATACACATACATATATACACATACATACACACACATATACATATATATATACATACGTTAAATACAACATATAAATATCAAATACAAGAGAACACAATAATGACAGTCTTCTAATCATTTTCTATATTTAAACTAAATTGGAAAGATAGAATGATTTTAATATTTTTTTTAAGGAACTGCTATACAAGACTGCCATTAGGGTAAGCAGAAACAACCTCTTTCGCTTCCTCCACATTCATTAATCTTTTCATACACGCTAGCCGGTTACGGGTACTTTTAATTTGGCCCTTCTTCAGCACGTCGCCCATTTTCTTTTTCCTATTGAAATTAATATTTGACTTTAATAAATATTTGTTTTTATGTTTTAAAATATAAAAAGTGACAAGTTTTCCATTTGTTAAATGTTCAATTCCATATTTTATATTTTACTATATCGATTATCTCACGTAAAACAACTGTGAACACCATGCTCTCACGTTAAACTTCCATGATGACATTTATTGCTGGCTTATTGTCGCGGTTAGAGGTTATTGTACTTATGGTTTCCTATGTGGAATTTATTGCCATTTATACAATGTAAGAATTACTTACGATTCGACATTTACAATCATTCTTATTGGAAAAACACGTTAAGTACAATTTAAGCATTATTACTAGAGGGAGACTGTACAAAAAATCGTTTGTTTAGGCACCTCTATCCCTTTCGCGTTTCTATCATGAAGTAGTTGTGTTTGCATGGCTGTGTTTCGGTTTGAAGGGTGAGATATAGCGATGAATTCACAGGGTACAGAGGAATAACACCTGAGTCCTCAGGATGGCAACACATGGGGGGTATCATAGACGAAACAGTATACTCTTTTATGTTCATGGTACTGCTCATGTCTATAGGCGACGGTTACCACTTTCCATCAGGTGGGTCGTCAGCTTGTTTGCCATTCTAAGTTGCAAGACGAAAAATAAACATAAAAAACATCAATTATGGTAACACTCGTGGACGACTCTTAGACGAGCTGACCAGGGGAACCTAATACTAGAGGGATAGACAGCAGTGTCCCTATTAAACATCTCTAGAAGCCTAACTACGGTTGCTAACCCGGCTGCCAAGCGTGGCAACTTACTGGCAAAATCCAATAGAAGGAGGCCTATGTTCAGCAGTGGACAATTAACGGCTGAAGAAAACAATGTTAACACTAATATAGGCGACTGTATTGACTTGTCACGTATGAAACAGAAAGTAATACAGTTTTAATATTCTCCAAGCAAATGTAAAGCGACCCCGGGGTATTACAATTTGCATACAAAGAGGGGAAACTTAGTGATCATTTGGATATTACACAAACTAATTGTCCACTTGAATGGTGAGTTTTTTTTGATGGGTGAAAATGGTATGGTAACCCCGTCTGCGCTAACGGGATACGCTGGCGGAGCACCAGTGAAGGGTGATAGATGAGGATGGAACAGGCCAGCTAGCTCATCATGATGAATTCATCAGGAATTAACCATGATAGTTTCCAGGGGGAACCGCGAGGAGGTTGACCTGGTTGGGTATATTGCTAGCAATGGGATTCTCAGTCTCCATTACTAAAAATTTTTTTCCCCCCGAATGGTGACAGCTTTTTCGGATAACACTTGGATGTTAGTTAGAATTGAATGTGTTAACACAAGATCGAATTCAGTCTAAAATTTTGAATTTTCGAGATCATGTTTATGATTAAAATTAGATAGATAGATACTCTTTATTGTTTCCTCCAAAAGATTACAATAGTAAACTCATTATAAATATAAACAATTACAAGAAATAATCACAATGAGAAAATAATGGGCGACTTTATCGCTAAAAGCGATCTCTTCCAGGCATCCTTTGGATGGAGAGGAGTAATTTTAACTAATTTGATTAATTAAATGAATAAAAAAATAAAAATTTAAAAATTATTGTCACTTACTTCGTTCTTCGGAGTGCACGTAAATTCGTAAACGCCATATCAGAGTCGGCCATTATAAGGATTTTTTTTAAATGAAATCAATTTATTTTGCAAAATTTTTTGATATAAGAGGTTAACTTTGCCCGTATACATTCTGCTTCTGTGTGCAAATGTTTAACAATATAAAATAGTTTACATATATATTTAATACATTATAAGATGTGAAGAAACGAGTAATACTAGATATATTTTCCCAAAAAACAAAATTGGACTAGCTTCCACTTTAATGTAACTTATATAAGAACTTATATATTTTGATTAAAAAAGGAATCATCAAATTTTATTCACCAACCACAACGAATGAAAATATAGTGCAACATAAAAAATACACCTGTGAGCCGAGAACCGCTTTCATTTCTAACGGATCCATTTAAAATCGTATAAAGTATCAGAATAATTGCCATAATTGCACTTTTTAAAACACCATTAGATACTAGTTAAGTATTTTATGGTCACAGTAAACGTTAAAACATTTATTTAATTGATGAAAATGGCAATACATCACTCAGCGCAGCCTCCGATGAGGATTTCCTTCAAGTACGTACGACTTGAACATCTCTAAATTGCATTATAATAACTAAAATTTTAAAAATCCATGTTTACTAACAACCGAACAAATGACTTTCTTTATTACAGTCACGCACTCGCGGAGAAAATATACACAGAACGCACTTGTATACGAGTTGATGTAACGCCTTTAATTTTAAAAATTAAATAGATTTCGTCGAATAAAAAATGATAACATATGATTAGCATTTAAGTATAAAATATATTTTTCTTTATTTAGAATACATAAAATCGTAACCACTGCTCTGTCTGATGCTGGTGTGTCCTGGTATCTAAATTATTATATTATTATTATGTATATACGTATATATATATATATATATATATATATATATATATATATAAATATATATACATAATATATATATATAAATTCATGTTCATTACGTTGTACCGTCAATTATATTTTGTTATTCCTGTCTACGGTCTACTGACATATGACGGGATTGTTTAGTCATGGGGAGATTAGTCTCCATTGCTATCAATATACCCTATCAGGTCGACCTCCACGCGATTCTCCCTAGAAACTATCGTGGCAAATTTGTCATTGAATACGTCACAATAGGCTAACTGACCTGACCTTGACTGACCTTTTTATCCTCACCTATCATCTCTCACTGGTACCCCGCCAATGTATACCGATAGCGCAGGCCGGGTTACTATGTCATTTTCACCCATAAAAAAATCCGCCATTTACGCTTTCTGGGTGTATTAAAGTTTAATAAATAAATAATAATATATGAATATAAATTTACATAAAAATTATATAAATAATAGAGTTCCGCCATAAGGAGGGTTCTGCCAGTAGTTGGCACGCTTGGCAGGCCGGTTGGCAACCGCAGTTAGGCTTTGGTGACGTTTGAAGAGGGACGCTACTGCCTATTCTTCGGCGTTAAGTTCCCTTAGTCGTCACATTGCAAAAATTGTATATCACATATATACATATAGTCGTCTCGTAGTATTTTTGATTTGTATTTTTAGTATAAAAGTACAAATAAATGTAATTATAAGAAAAAACGGTAGAAAATTTAGAAAATTTTCTAATGAATACAAATTAATGTGAAAATCAAGTTTATTGGTCGTTTGCATTTATTGAGAGGCGCACACTCACTGCACATTATGCAATGAAAATATATTATGCAGTTAACGTCTGCATATTCATATGTATTTATTGCGCAATACTTTGAACTATAACGAATCTTGACTGTTTATTATTATATCCAAACTCCTATACTTAAAAAAAAAAAATATTTAAAAGGTTTTGGGCTATCAAACAAACTTTCTTCGACTAAAAAAAAATAATATTTCTGATTAAAAATCAAGACAAATTTTCATTATTTTTTATACATATATATATATCAAACATGCCTCCTATTGGGTAGGCAATTAACAGTCAATTATAATAATAAATACAAATAATTTATTACCTATAATATAATGTATATAAAAAGGCAAAATTACATTGTTTGTTTGAATAAACTTAAAAACTATTCAAACGATAATAATTATTTTACCTATAAAAATATAGACATCAGAGAGTACTATAGATATTATGTTTAAACATTCTATCCACTATTCCGCCAAGCCAAATCGATTCTATCCACCCGTGCAAAGTCAGGCCAAATCGCTAGTTATTAATAATACTAATAAAAGTCCTTGTTTATTACAGATAACAGTAACCACCACACGTGTGCGAGGAGAAAGCCAAAATCAAGGACTAATAGATAGAAAATCAGACAAACGAATCAGTAAACGTGAGGCTACGCTGCTAATTGACGATTTCCACGTTCAACCTATATATACCCACAAGCCCAAAGTAATATACCGAAGAGTATCAAGGATCGTGCCGCCAAAACCATCCACCAAATATAGACCTCCGAGACCTAAATATGGTCCGTATAAAGGAAGAAAACCAGGTAAAAAATATAGAAAACAAGTTCCTGCAAAATTTGGGCCATCAAGTTACAAGCCACGATCACCTAAACCGAGGTATACGTCCAAACGACCAAGCACTAAACCCAAGTATAGTGTCCCAAAGAAAGTGCAACACTATACTCCTTATCCGCCTGAACCAACTGGCTTTGGAGAGCCACCTTCAGATTTCGCGAATGACTATCCACCACAGAAACAATCGTACGGGGAACCACCTGTAGATTCTTATGGGGCCCCATTAAAGACGAAGATAATCGAACCATACCCAACTCAACAAATTTATTCTGAAAATCCAACACATGCCAGCCAGTTTGAAAAGCAAAACTTTGCTCCAGATTATCTATCGTGGCAAAGTTTCCAACGCGACAAAAACATAGACAACCAGTACGCTTATTCGCAGAAAAGACCAACATACATCAGACCAGAGGTATTAGAAAGGCCAAATGTAGACGATAATGAAGATCCTGAATTGATAACTTATTCAGATATATACGCTTATAATAACAAATATAAAGATCCCTACTACTTACACAATAAAAAGAAGAAACCACAATTTTTGGCCGACAGTGGAAAAGTGCCAAAAAACCGATGGAAGACACGCAAGTTAAAACCTGATGAAGATGAAGAAATATTGGTTGGTGGTCAATACGCTGAACCACCAGCAAGATATGTCCCTAAATTTCAACCTAGTGCTCCTATGTACAATGATGAGGACGATTTCGCCCCACAACCAGGTTTCAGAGAGTCAGACATTGCTTCATCCGCAACTATATCCCCTTATGTTAATTATAAAAATAGCAACATGGCATTTAGCCCACAAAATTTAAATGATGCATTTAGTATAGTCGAAAAATAAATCATATCTTCTTGTATCGTATCTGAATGTTTTGTAAAATAATAGATTTCAATGTGTACAAAATTATCTCATTGATAAACTTTCTGTATCAATTATTGATTATTTATTTAAGAGAAGAATTAAGACTGTGTCGTGCAATAATGTTATCTTAGGCACCGCCAGGATTATCAAGTGTAAATTTAAATAATAAATTAATAAACCATATTTGTTTTAATTATTAATAAAATCTATATATACTCGTAGATATATAAAAAAGAATGCTGATTCGACTTACTGATCTACATATATACCAACGTACAGCTGAAACCGTTGAATTTAGAAACCTTGAAATTTTGCAGATAGGATTTTTATATAGCGTAGGTGAACAGAAAATTTGAAAATATAACCCCTAAGAAAATAAAACTTCCAAAAACCTATGCGTATACAGTCGGAAGTAAAAGCTACTTTTAAAATAAAACAATATTTATAACATGATCTAATACTATATTATCAGAAGCTTAAACAACCGTAGTTCTATCAAAATATCAAATGACATCTTAACATTGTTAATTACAAAACTATAGTAAATTATATCAGTCTAAAAAGTCCATTATTTCTGTATCCACACATTTTTGATGATGTTACCAGATCACTATCTGTACTCGGAATAAATATTTAACAGAAATCGAAAGGTGAAAAACATTAAGAAAGTTTTTCTTGTACCGGAGAAGTTACATCATACATAGCAGTTTCTTGAATTGAAATAGTTACTTATAAGTAACAGAAATACGTTACGCCAATTGCTTACAATGTAAATATCTTAATTCCATTATCATCCATTTTTAGTTTCTTTTTGTATTGGAGCATTCCGACTGCTTACATGTTTTTTCCTTCTAGCATTTCCGCATGCAGCTCTTGCGGCTTCACACGCGGCGTGTGCCGCTTGCTTTGTTGCTGCGCATTCTGCGCAGGCGCATTGCAACTTGTGTTGGAGGTGAGCCAACCTTGCCCTAGCTTCGGACAAATTGTGACATTTCTCCTGCAGTCCGATCTTCGTCTTCTCTAGTACGCAATGTGCGGATTTCTCCATTTGGCTTGCTAATTGTGTTGCCTGCATCAATAGTCTGTGCTGGGAAAATAATAATATTAATTGATTTATTTATTAATGTATTAATCCTAATTAGTATATTAATTGATTCTTTTAATATGTACAATTTAAAAAGGAACTACTTTTTTGTTTTCTTATTTGTTAATGTGTATATCTAAGGAGAAACAATGGCAATAAAATATGTTCGTTTGATTGTAAACAGCATTGAAGCTCCAATATTTGAATCAAAATATTCTTTAAATTATTATAGACCATAATTAAATCAAAGTTATCCTATTAAGGTTATTAAATCTATACATTCTATTAAACTTACAAGATTAGCAAAAGGTAGTTTTCAAATTATTTTTAAAAATAATAATAATAATAAATTACTTCAAAGTGTTTATTATTAAAAGATACAAAAACAAAACATTTTCCACCATTCTATCGAGTAATTGACAAGATCATCGTTTTGTACCACATTTGCAGAGAGACGATAGGGCTTTTCCTGAGCAAGCTTTCAAACAGACTCGACCACAAGATAATAGTGTTAATGCAGCAATACACGCATATAAAGACATACAAATCATTGTAAATTTTATTAAACTTCCCTTGAAAGTTATCGAATCCCAGTCTTCAGTCCTCCTCGCCGTTCAGATCCTTCGAAATAGAGAAAACAAAGTCTTACGAAGAATTCATTTGACCAAGTATTAGGTCTTCAACAATTACTACCAAATGAATTGAATATCAAATATAAAAGGTAGTAACCGCAGTTTAAACACTTCGTAAAACATTGCTTTCTTATCTGATCCGGTAGGAATTGTTGAAGATGTTATATTATATATTAATAAAGAATTAAAAGAATTTAACATTAGAATTTAAGTTGCTGCAACCTAAATAATTGAAAAATACTTGATAATATCAATCAGAAAGAAATTGTTAAACATATTTTTGCTAGTAATTAAGTCTAACAGCCCTATTGCTAGTAATATACCCTATAGGTCGACCTCCATGCGGTTCTCCCTGGAAACCATCGTGGTCAATAATTGTTGAATTCGCCACGATGGGCCAACTGACCTGTGTTATCCTCACCTATCACCCCTCACTGGTGATGCAGGCGGGGTCACTATTTCATTTTCACCCATTACAAAATTTGCGTTAATGCCAATATTTGATCATAGTGCAAAATATTTCCGTTCTAGCTTTAACTAGCTTTATGACATATCAAGATAGAAAATACATATTATTTTTTAAGTTTAGACCTTCAGGAACGCAACTGTCAAAACTGCATCCAATTTGTTGCAGTAGATTTTGCATGATACAGCAACAAACGTACGGACAAACAAAATTTCTTAAAATGACTGTTTTAGCTTGTAATGGTTTTATTAAGAATCTTTTTTTCTTTTCTTCTCTTTAATATCTCGCATGTACAGACATTGTCTAGTTACAATTTTATTATATTAGTAAAATAAACATTCATAATATCTTCAATTATATTTTTTTTATACCACTGAGGCCTGAGGTAAAAAGAAAGCATATGGCCTATCTAATGTTAAGCAGTTTTACGTGTGTGTTGCCGACCCTTGAAGAACCTCTTTATGCCTTTTATAAAGAATCCCATACATATACTGTAATCTCTTGGAAAAATGTAAACAGTGTAATCTGTCTCTGGGTATTTACAAGAAATAAACGCATATATTGCACAAATAATAAATTTAGCGACTTATACATATTGAATTTTGTACTTTAAGCACGTAAATTTTCAAATATTTTCTTTATACTCATAGATCATTCACCTTAATCTTAACTCTTCTTTGCATAATGGTGGAAATTTCCATCATAACATTGAATGCCCAAAAATTATGTAAAAGACCAAGTTCACATTAAGTTGATCGTGTCTGGACACCGTTTTAATTTCCATTGCAAAAAACAAAACATAGCTGTCAAATTTATTTTGTTAACCATTTTTCCTTTAATTTTAAACATAAATTATATCACCTTGATTTATTTCACCAATAAAAAAATCATGCAAAAATAGGTTAAGTCTATATTATATTGACACTATAATTAAGTACATTTTTTCTATTTATATTTACCTGTGCAGTAGCTTGCTGCGCTGCCTGAACAGCGGTATTGACAGTCGACTGTTGCTGCCGTACAGCGGCTGTATTCTCAGCGACCACAGCTTCTGCTTCTTTTACTTCCTGTTGCAGTTGTTCAACTACAGCTTGTTTACCGGCTAGAGCCGCTTCAGCTGCTTTGGCTGCTTGCAGTGCTTTTTCCGCTAGTTGGGTTTTTACCTGTTTATAAAGGATGAGTTTAAAAGGTGGAAGTTTTTAGTTTTTTGATAATGGGATCTTCTTGTGTACAAAAAGTAAAAGTCTATATACTTATGCTCATAGGTCATCACGCTGTGTAAGCGGTTTTTTTAATGGATGATAATGGAATGGTAACCCCGCTTGCACTAACGGTGTACACTGGCGAGGCGAGATACCAGTGAGGGATGATAAGTGAGAATGAAAAGGCAGGTCAGTTAGCCCATCGTGATCAACGTGCCCACGTGGAGGTTAATCTGACAGGGTACGTCGCTAGCAATGGGACTAGTAGCCCGCATTAGTAACAATCCCTTCCCCCGGGTAAGCGGGTTGGTGACTGTGGAATTTTTGAAAGCATTGATGAGTGAATTTCATAGCAATTTAATGGAGAGAATGTCACTATGTAGGAGGATGTGGCAATAGCAATGGAGTGGTGGTGAGGGGGCGGTGCGGAACGGGATCCTTATTAGTAAACCACACGTTATTAGAATATTTACTATTCATAGTACACAGTAATAAATTACTTGTATGATGTACAGCCATTAAATAATTACCTTAAAAAATAAAAAAATAAATTGATATTTAGTATGTTTATACACGATATGGAGAAATCAGTAAATCAAAGATTATTTACATACATTTGCCTAAGAAAATGTATAAGGCGCTTCAAGCTTAACCTGTTGTAATAGAAAATGTAATAATATAGGTTGTCTGTGATAAATTTATGTTATTATTATTTAAATTATTAACTGTCCACTGCTGAACATAAACCTTTCCTATACAGAGAGTTATACCAGTAGTTACCACGCTTAGCAGGCGGGTTGGCAACCGTAGTTTTACCGTTTACCAGAGGGAGACTTTGTACAAAAGTCGATTGCTTGGGTGCGTCTATCCCATTCGTGTTTCAACCGTGAAGCAGTTATGTTTGCATGGCTGTGTTTCGGTTTGAAGGGTGGGATATGGCGTGAATTTACTGGGTACAGAGGAATAACACCTGAGTCCTCAGGAATGGCAACGCATGGGGGGTATCAAGGGCGAAACAGTATACTCTGTTATGTCCATGGTACTGCTCATGTTTATAGGCGACGGTTACTACTTTCCATCAGGTGGGCCGTCAGCTTGTTTGCCATTCTAAGTTGTATAAAAAAAAGTCAGATTTTGGTGATGTTTTAAGATGATTAGATTCCCTTACTCGCCTCTTACGACACCCATGGGAAAGGAAAGGGTGGCCTATTCTAAGCCGGGGCCACACGTCAATTCGTTAGTATTATTTTTCAGAAATTAGACAGAAATCATCACCATATGTGCAGCTTGGGCACCAGCCGCGTTCTGCGCCGCCTGAGCAGCCTTCGCCTCTGCGGCCGCCTTCTGAGCTATACTGGTGGCGCTCTTCCCTTTGCAGTCTATGGGCGCTTCTCTCGCTTTATTCTCCTTCCTCTCTTCCACCTGGTGAGCAATTTGAGATAGCTGCGGCTTCTCGGGCGCTCTCCGCTCAGGGAAGCCCCACACTGACGCGATCGTCAACAAAAAACACACCCCAAGTCTCATTTACAAAATTTTGTGTTCCACTTCTCTATATTGGCAACTATAAATTGCCCGTGCACTCGTAAATTACTACATGTGCCCCAAAAAATCACATATTTATTCATAGAATGGTGGATAGGGAATTTCCTTTGATTTGTGACGCAAACAAATCACGATCTACTTGACTAGTGGCTTGTTAAGTTGACAGTAAAAGTTCTATTTTTAAGAAAAATAGCTTCTTTCAATTTATATTGACAGAGGATTTAATTTCTTCTTATCTTTCAAAACTTAGAAATTAGTTTCATACCTTAAGATGTTTGATATCTAAATTCCAAAACATCAAATAAAATCCCTATTAATTTTAATATTTCCCTTTAGTTTTTTTTTTTTTAATCCCATCATTACTTAATTTATAAAGAACTCTATTGGCCGAGAATAATGAAAGATATTTTTCTTTTTTTTTTTTAGATTATGCCAATGTCAAATCTGCTATTATTGTGTAATGGATTAAATTTTATGTAGTAATTTTTGTACAGAATCTCTACTATTTCATTAAATTATGTGTGCTAGAGATGTTGTAATATCTCCAAAGATTTTATAAATAGAGGCATAGAGAAAGTGCCTCGGAATATTTCAGCAGAAACATCTTTTGTGATCTAACAGTTCTACTGGAATATTTTTAAGGTAAAATTAAATATTTAAAATAATATTTACTTATTCATTCTCTAACCATGAAGTCCAAAAGCTATTTAATTTTACTACTTTATTTAAAATACTGTGTGTAATGACAAGTATTTTTTGGTATATAAATAATTTTTCCAGCATTGTTTATTACTACATGTATTAGAAACATTCTGAAAAGGGATTAACTCAGATAAAGTTCAATTTAGGCTAGATGGTTTTATTCCGAATTTTTCTCCTGTATAAACACATTCTAAGACAATACATACATACATACATACTCGTATCTGTCACGCCTGTCTCCCATTAGGGTAGGCAGAAACAAAGAAAATTCTAAGACAAGATATTGTAAATACAAAAAAAAGTGGTTATATTTTGTATTCTCATTTTGTCACCATATAAAAAAAAACAATATAGATTATTTTACCATAACCCAAACCACCATTGAATATTTCTGCATATCCTAAAAGTTGACCGGTAAAGAATGAATATACCATTACATTACTTAACTAATTATATCTTGCGACTTCCTCTGCATGAATCAGTACACAGAATATCCTATATGCCAAGTTAGGATACAACCCATCCGTGTACCAAAATCCATTCAAAACTCTTCAATAGTTTTTACGTAAAAGAGTAACAAACATGCATCCATCCATCGATTACAAACATTGACATTTGAAATATCAATAAAATAATCGTATATTGATTGTAGGAAAACTAGCAGCAAATCTACCAACCTTAAGAAGACGAAACGAAGCGGTCAATCTATCGTCGTTGGATTAAAAATGATTTGCCTCTCCATCTACGCCCTGATCGCGTCTGCCACGATCCTATCTTGCGTGCCCGTCTGCTATCGCCAATTGGAAGTCCACAAATTCATTAGCTGTATCAAAAAATAGAGATCAAGCGACATGATCATCTGTATGACTTGTATGACAGCATTAATCGCTGCCGGGTGCGTCTCCTGCGCTCCTATCGTATTAGACAGCTATTGGCCATTTGGTAAAGGCGCAGGAGAGACAACTAGTAAAAAAGATTCAAACTTAAAAGCTTGCAAGAGTCCGTGCTGTGCTAAAAGATCTGGGAGCTAGATTGAACTGTTTGTACTCGATATGTTTATTATGTCGTCCATATAAATTATTTATAAATGTGCTTGATTGTTATTTTTATTTATTGTGATATTTTTTTTTCTTAAATTCCTACGTGAATAGGTCAGACACAGTACGACTCGCTTATCAACCAAATGTTTACAATGCTTTCAAATTATGAATTGAAACTGGCTGTTTGCGATTCATTAAAAAATTATGAAATATAGTACAGGTTTTTATGTTTAAATAGTTGAACTAATTTAAACTGAACTCTGAGAAAGATTTAAAGTTAGTTTTAATTACCAGAGGGAGACTTTGTACAAAAGTCGATTGCTTGGCTACCTCTGTCCCATTCGTGTTTTAACCGTAAAGCAGTTGTGTTTGCACGGCTGTGTTTCAGTTTGAACGGTGGGATATGACGTGAATTTACTGGGTACAGAAGAATAACACCTGAGTCCTCAGGAATGGCAACGCATGGGGGGTATCATGGGCGTAACAGTATACTCTGTTATGTCCATGGTACTGCTCATGTCTATAGGCGACGGTTACCACTTTCCATCAGGTGGGCCGTTAGCTTGTTTGCCATTCTATGTTGTATAAAAAAAATATGTTGAATGTAAAAATAATGAAATAGCATACTAAGTCTATGGTAAAAGTCTAGTTTTTAACCTAATCGTTTTCCACGTTATTTCACTATATTATAACTCTTTTGAAAAATCTTATATCGAACACATACAAAAATATTTGTCTTCAATACAATTCAAATTTGGAAATGCGCTAAAAATTGTCACGTCTGTCTAGTTAGATCTAAGAACATTCTATACCGAAATCTTTGAGTTAAGTTTTTTTTTATTTTGCTTAACAATATGAGTATGAAATTGTTGTGGAATTGTGCTAGAATAATCTTGCTTTCAGGATTATCATTTGGCTTATGAACAAAGATCGTTCAGTGAGGACAGTGTCCATCCAGATAGTGTTGGTGCTGTGGTGTGTGATGTAAGTATAGGATTTCAATATTCATTATACCATTGCTGGCCATGACATTCAATTAGAGCCTTCACCAAGAGGAGGATGTTTTGATCGGTGAAAATGTTATGGTAACCCCGCCTGCGCTAACGGGATACGCTAGCGGAGCACCAGCGAAGGGTGATAGATGAGAATGAAAACAGGCCAGTTAGCCTATCATGATGAATTCAACAGGAATTAACCATGATAGTTTCGAGGGAGAACCGCGGCGAGGTCGACTTGGTTGGGTATATTGCTAGCAATGGGATTCTCAGTCTCCATTACTAACAATCCCTTTCCCCAAAGGAGGAGAATGTTAGATTACTGTAAGCGGTTGTCAGACTGTGTGATCCATTTAATTCGTGATGAAATTGGCCATACGAATAATTATTCTAAAACATTCCTTGCATTATCATTTTGTATTCACTTATATCTATCACTTAGTTTGACTTCACTTTTATTGTCAACCGACTTTAAAAAGTCAGAGGTTCTTAATTTAGTTAAATTTTTATTACGTTTGTTACCTCATAACTAATAAATAGGACTAAGAGAATTTTTTTCTATCTCAAAATTTTAATCTTACTTACAGATTAGTTCCATAGAAAACTTATCAGAATCTTTTTTTTTATGATACACAATTTAAATATTTTACAAATGGAATAAAAAACGTACATACATTTATAACTTCACAATCGGGTATCCGGAGTAACCCAGGGCTTTTTTTTGGGTGATAATGGAATGGTAACCCCACTCACGCTATTGGTATACACCGGCGGGGCACCAGTGAGGGATGATAGATGAGGATGAAGCAGGTCAGTTAGCCCATCGTGACAAATTCAACAAGAATTGTTCACGATGGTTTCCAGGGAGAACCACGTGGAGGTCGACCTGATATATTGCTAGCAATGTTGAAGTCCATTGCTAACAATCCCTTTCCCCCCAGCAACCCAGGGTATTGCCAGGATAGATAGAGACATCAGTCATTGCCATTATAGCGACTTTAGATCAATCTCATTCTCACTTCGCAGTCAATTTGCATTAAATATTCTTCTTTTCATTTTAAGTGTTTCCTCTTATCGGTGCAACTAATTCATGCATCTTCTTCCAGCCAGCTCTAACCCAGGCCATATCCTTGATCTCCCTATACGACATGACACCTAGTGTTTCTTTTATCTGTCCCATGTAGTTATTTCTCGGTCTGCCTCTTCCTCTTTTGCCCTCTATTTTTCCTTCTAGTATGCTCTTAAAAAAATCGTCATGTCGTAGCAACTTTAATGCTGCTACGACATGATGACTAAAGGCCACATTAAAGGCCCAGCATTAAATACTAAGATATATAAAATGTAAGTAAGTAAGTTATGTACAATAAAGTATAAAATAAATAAAATATAAAATATGATGACTAGCTACTATTATTGTAATGAGTTCAGAAGGTAAGCGTGGACTCTTGTTTTTTTTATGCAACTTAGAATGGCAAACAAGCTGACGGCTGACCTGATGGAAAGTGGTAACCGTCGCCAATAGACATGAGCAGTATCATGGACATAACAGAGTATACTGTTTCACCCATGATACCCCCCATGCGTTGCCATTCCTGAGTACTCAGGTGTTATTCCTCCGTACCCAGTAAATTCACGCCATATCCCACCCTTCAAACTGAAACAAAGCCATGCAGTCACAACTGCTTTACGGTTGAAACACGAATGGGACAGAGGTACCCAAAATGGGAGGTATCATGGGCGAAACATACAGTTTCGCCCATGATACCTCCCATGCGGTGCCATTCCTGAGGTTTTCTGATTTGTTATCATCGTCGTTAATAATCATTGGATATTTTTCGTTCCAGAATATCTCCTTCAGTAAATGGTAGTATCATATGATTTGCGTGTCCTTACTGAGCGTCATCAGTGCTACAACTTTGCTGCTTGGCGTGCCTCTGTGCATGCACAGGTTGTTGAACAGAAAGTGCTGCTGCCCATCCGTGCCTGTTTGTCCTGACTGTGGAATGCCTTACTGGTTATTTCTTTTTTGTTTATTTAAAGTGCTAAAAATTACACCAATGGTCTGGTTTAGATCCTCATACACCTATTCTGTTTTTTTTTTAATAGATGATAATGGAATGGTGACCCCACCCGCGCTATCGGTATACACCGGCGAGGCACCAGTGAAGAATGATAGGTGAGAATGAAGCAGGTCAGTTAGCCCATCGTGACGAATTCAACAAGAATTGTTCACGATGGTTTCCAGAAGGAACCACGTGGAGGTCGACCTAATAGGGCATATTGCTAGCAACGGGGCTGTCAAACTCCATTGCTAACAATCCCTTCCCCCCACCTATTTTGTGTTAAGGAAAACCAGGTAATAAATAAAAATGGGAGTACAACTCAGAACATGCAGATCTGAGCCAGTTCTGAATGGTTTGTTTCCTAATTAGTTCAACCAAGAATCGAATCCGGTGACTCATTAACGCAAAGCAACGTGCCTGTCATTGTGCTACATAGATCATCGAGGTTGTATGTAAGATGCTCAACAAACTGTTAACATCCTACCGTTGGGCCCAAGCTGTAAATACCTCTGAAAAGGAACTACTATATAATCCTATAGTCATTTTTACAAACGACTTGACGTACGGTTTTACTTTAAGTTTTACTGTCTTATATTGGTGTTTTATAATTTAGTTGCCTCTCACATCATCCTAGAGATGAAAAGCATCGATGACTTACTCATTTCTTACGCTATCATCATATCTATATATTAATATAATATACACATACTATAGCACATTAAGTTTTTAATTATAAAGACGTGAAAATATAATGTCTTACACTTTTAAAAGTAATTTCTTTATCTTTGAAATTATATATATATATATATATATATATATATATATATATATATATATATTTTAATATGTATTTGTTATTATGAATAATTTATTAACTTAAATAAAGTATACTTTAATTGCCTACAATGCTTCATTCCTCTTTCAATCGTAATTAAATCCTAACACAGTGTTAGCTATTTTTGATTGAACTAAAAAAACTATTTTCTAGAAATAATGTATATGGCAAAACAACGTTTGGAGGGTCAGCTATTATATATATATTGGAACGTTTTCTTTCGTTCATTAACTTTAATTTTTTACTTCAAACCATCATCGTATTATTATAGTTTAAATTACATTGTTTCAGAATATAAAACACCTGCATATTAACATATAATTTGCCAGTGTTATAGCAGCTACGCTGATTTTAATGTGTGTACTATTCTACAAGCACTCCCGAGTTTGCTTTCCTCAAATTTCTTGCTGTCTCAAGACCAAGTGTGCAGTAAAATCAACGTGAAAAGAAATTTTTTACCAAGATTTTCTATCTGATGATAATTTGTTATTATTTAGATCAGTATTTAAAATGATTTGCATGACATTTGCTACTGCATTAACTGCTGCCGGTATTATTGTTATTGGTCCTTTGATATGTGAAAAATTTCTACATTGCATGTCTAAAACAAAAAAATAATGTAATTATTTGTTGAATAATAAACTATACTCATTTTAGAAATTATGAATTTCATTATCATCATCATTTCAGCCAATATCCGTCCACTGCTGACATAAGCTTTCCCCATAGACTGCCATAAAAAACTGTCCTGAGCCACCTGCATCCACTGACTCCCTGCAATACATTTCAGATCGTCACTCCATCTAGTGGGAGATTATCCTACACTGCGTTTGCCCGTACGTGGTCGCCACTCAAGAACCTTTCTTCCTCATCGATTGTCGGTTCTTCGAACTATGCTAATTATGAATTTATTAAGACATAATCAGACAGACTGTGTGCTATCGTTAATAAACAGACTAGAGTCTTCTGGAGCGGACGTGTAGTCATGGGAGGAGCAACAAAAGGAAGCAAGAAATATATGCAAGGATAGAGGATTTCGGCACGTAGATTTTTTTGCAAATTTTTTCTATCATTTATGAGGTATTTTAAAAAAAATACCTATATATATATTGGTATTTGTGCCTACTGCTGAACCTCCCCTAGATTGCCACGGGGAACAGTCCAAATGGTGAAAAAAGCACTGAAACTAACTGCAATCGCCAACTTACCTGTCAAACGTGGCAATCACTGGCAAAATTCTCCCAACAATATAGGAAAAATGTAAAAAATAAATAATTGTGAACAAAAGTTAGGAAACGCACATTTATTTTATTATTTTACAACTATAACACATACACCATAATATCACTTGACTGAATCCACTATACTAATAAAAACACTTTGAGCAAATACGTAAATCAGTTCACCTCGTCTACGTTACGCATCTGAATAGAAAATAAATAAGTTAACAAGAGGTTTTATGACACTTAAATTTAATAATTATTGACTATTATGAATATTTCAGACTATGTTTGGTCATTCGTCGGATTTCTTCGAGGTTCTTTGTGTATTTCAGGTGTTACTATAGTTATGGCGGATTTTTTGAACCTCGTAGGTTTCCCCAATATGGCTTCGTCTAATTTTGCAATCGCAGCAGTTGGAGTAGGATATTCACCGACTAATTTGACGTAAGAAGTAGGTCTGACTATCTGAACCTTTTCATTGTTTATTATAGCCATTTCTTTCTCTTCTTTGCTATTCTTCTCTGCACTTGATCTATAAAATCTTTTAACTGGACGAGAATTTTGGGCTTCGTACAAGTAAGAAGGATCAAGTTGGTCTGTTAATTTTTCTTGTTTCACATCTGAAGCAATAAAGTGCTCTATTGGTTGAATCTCCTGTTTGATAATCTCTACTGAAGAAGTAGTAGTTTCAACAGGATTAGGAGTTGTAGTAGTACTAAGAGTAACGGTAGTTGTGCTAGGAACAGGTGTAGTAGGTCTAACAGTAGGACCACTGCTATTTTTTAAGGTCATCCTTCTCCTATGCTTTCTTTCGGCTGTGTTAGTTCGTGAAGTGTCTTCGGCGGAACTAACTTCTTTGCTTTTATTAAAATTTATATCGGCATTGACAGTTACAAGTTTATATTCTGAATTACTTTGGTAATCTTGAGTCTTTGGTTTAGAAGAGCTTCTATTTATATTGCTAGTTTTATTAGAAATATCAACATTTCTGTTTCCACGGTATACCGGAGTTTGGTCTGTTGAGACGGATCCCTTGTTACTTCTCTCATCGACGATGAACGGCTGTGGTGTGATGATTTCTATACCATTGGTGCCAGTTTGTTGGACAGAGTTTGCGCTATTTTGATTCTCTAAGATTGATATAGCTTCTTTTATACCATCCTCTTCTACTGGATTAGCAGGTTGACCTGAAATATGTATACACATATAATGTATTACAAAAAATACGTTACAGTAACTAAAACATAATGGTATATCATTTATAAAAAAAAAAAATAACAGTGCCTTGAAAAATACGTAGTATAATATCCGGTTATTAAATATGTACCTCAGTATCACATTCTATGTATTAATTTAGAACATGGTCTACACTATTTATATATTTATCCATGCAAATCCATTCTATCGTTTAAGCATAATTTAGGATCAAATTAACAAAAATCTACATAAATGTTAATAAAAAATAATAATAGTTAATGTTAAATAATGCAGTTTCGGGCTTATACTATCAGTATGATTCTTTAAGAAATTGGTAAATTAAAAAAAAAAACAATATTTTTACAAATTACAATGTATTCTATGATTCCCAATATGTTGTTTCCATTTGTTGACACCTAACTAGTTACATTGCAAAAAGTATTAAATTCTTTAATACACTTACTATTTATACTACTTGGTACTTTTTTTAATAAAAGTAAAAAAAAAAAGTAAGTAGCAAGTAGTAATTAGTTTGTTCTGAGAGGATATTACAATGCATTTGTAACCGAGCCTCACATTAGGTTTTCCTGTATCGTGGGAGACACGCTCTTCTAAATAACTAGTACATATTTCCGAACCAAAATATAATCAAAAAGTAATAAGGGTTAGTAACTACATTAATAAGTCAAGACTTGTTGGAAATAATGGGTAGATTTTTTTTATATAACTTAGAATGGCAAAGAAGCTGACAGCCCACCTGATGGAAAGTGGTAACCGTCGCCTATAGACATAAGCAGTACCATGGACGTAACAGAGTATACTGTTTCGCCCATGATACCCCCCATGCGTTGCCATTCCTGAGAACTCAGGTGTTATTCCTCTGTACCCTGTAAATTCATGCCATATTCCACCCTTCAAACCGAAACACAGCCATGCAAACACAACTGCTTCACGGTAGAAACACGAATGGGACAGAGGTACACAAGCAATCGACTTTTGTACAAAATCTCCCTCTAGTAACACTATGATAAGTCTCCCTCTGACTGCTGTGGCCATGGAGTAAAGTTTTGGAGTGTTAACTAAAATCGAGCCCAGAGTTATTTTGAATATCTGTAACTGGGCGTACTATACTGCTGTCATTTGTGACACCATTTTTGAAACTTATTAAATGATGTGTATGAAGCCTGTGTATGAGATTGAAATTGTATGACGATATATAACAGTAGATGTATATATAAAATATAGATAAACATACTCATATATGTTATTATATCATTAATTTTAATGGTAACTCACCATCTTCTTGGACCTCCTTCTTATAAGAAGAGAAGAACGTCAACGCCTTCATCAGCTGATAACTCTTGGACACCGGTATGTTTGTATCGTACAATCGTCTCGTGTTTTTGCAATCAACATAGAACCACCAGTTACATTTGAGGATCGTTTGATCGAAGAGTGTTGATTCAGGGCAGAGGAATGACTTCATCACCAAACCATCGTCGGTTAAGGCGCAGACGTGGAATACCTAGAATTGAGAGAAATATAGATATTAACATAGTTAAGTTTAGATGTTGAGATGACTTGCTGATGAAGAAAGAATAATGACAAATATTACAACGACCAGACAGAATACTTATTTGCCACCATATAGTTCACATTACTAACAATTCCTACTTCCGTCCCACCTCACGAGATAAATTGCCAGCTTAAATAAAAATATAAAAGTAATCCTAAAAGCTATTTCAATAATTCAAGATCGTTCTACGAAAAGAAACTGTGACTTTGATCGTCACAAATATGTTATAAAACACACACGACTAAACTCTATTGATTGCGAAAGTGAATATAAAAAAATAAAAGAAAATAGGAGCATTTATTCTAACAATGTAAGCATATTTGCGAGCATTTACTTGAGAAAACTACAAGATAAACCCATAGTTTTCTGTTAAGTAACTATTAAGATGCGACAATAGTAAAAAATATTTTTTGAATAATAACTTAATGATTGGTAATTATGAACACGCTTTTGTTAATAAACGTTAGTTTCATAAAACTATTTTCAACTTTCTAACAATTAGTTGAAAGTTTGCAAATAAATGCAGTAACACAAAAAATATTAAGCAATTGGGAAAAAAGTTGTTGAACTACTATTATTGCAATGCATCTAGTAACAGTTATTTAAGGATTCATTCTAACTTTATGAGCAAGAATTTTTGAATTATTTACTTAATTTATAAGCAGTATTTAATGCTTTGCTGGAGAAATTCTGTAACTCGAAAATTTTGTTTTGTTTTTGAAAATCTTATTAATGTTTAAGAGCATTGACTACCGAAAATCAATTTCTACCGCTTTTGCTAAGAGAAATTACGAAAAAAATGTGTATTACTCTAAATCTACTGTACTATAAATGTCTGAAATGTACAATTCAACTTACCATACATCCAAGGCTCTCATCTCCATACAATCCGGGGAAATATTTTTGATCTCCGCAATGGAACGTCGTCTCTGGAAGATCAACTTTAGACTGGAAGTGATCATCGAAATTCTTCTCATAACCAACAGGATAATACTCCCGTGGTGCATTCATCACCTTTCCTGCAGTTGGGCTGATTCTATAAAACAAATTGATAAAGTATATTGTAATATTATCACTTTATACATATATTTCGAAACAGGTAGGAACTATCAACTGAATATAATTTATTCATATCCTGATATTCCTTTTGAAATAAATGTTGATTGCTTTGTATATTAAATAATTAAGAAGGCTTCATTATACTTATTCAATATGACCGATTCGGCTCAACTTCGCACTAGTAGATAGACTTTCCGAAAATAATATACAGCCTACATTACTCGCTGATCTCTGAGCGTTAAGCTTTCTATACTTGAAAGAATTTTTAAAATCGCTTAAGTAGTTTTTAAGTTTATCCATTACGAATCAACAAACAAATTATTAAATCTTTCCTCCTTATAATATTCCTGAAAAAAAAAAAGGATCTCAACATCTGGAAATAGTATAAACTCTAGTTGATTTTGAATTAAAAATGCCGGACCCAAAGATAAAAAGGTACTTGAGCACGTTACGTTATACTACATTTATGTGTACAAATCTCACTTCGAGCTCAGATCTAATGCTACGTATCCAGATCTTGCATACTAATGCAATAACTTTTTACCTTATTTCCTGTAAGACTAGATAAACTACGATAATGTACTAAACATGAAACCTTTCCTAACAGTACCTTTTTGGTTTCTGAACCACAGAAGCAACCACGATTTCAGGTTCGGGCTCAGGATGGAATACCACCGGCAGTTCTGTCGTCGTCGTAGTTGTAGTAGTCGTTGTTGATGTTGGTACAGGGAAATTGGCATATTTGTTCAATAGCTGCTGCTGTCTTAATGCAATCGCAGCTTCAACTGCTTCCATAGAAATGTTCCCTGCTTTTGCAATCTCCGAAATTTTTGCATTTATATCTTCTTTGTTGAATGTCAGTGTTGTATCATCGCCGTAACCTGATATGGTATTGTAATCATCTATCTTCTTCGTGTTGTACGCGGAAAACTGACTCGCCAGTTCGTGAACTTGCTTAGGAACAGGATCTACAAAGTTAGAAATAGGATTGTTTTGGATCGAGGTCTGATAAATGGGTGTGTTAGATGGAAGTGTATGTGAAAAGTCAAAAACAGGTGCGGGTATGATAGATATGGCTTGTGTTGGTGGAGCAGCAACAGGCATTGGAATGAATGGATTGACTGTTGTAGGCATGGAGTAAAGTTTTGGAGTGTTAACCAAAATCGGCGCCGGAGTTATTTTGAGTATCTGTGGCTGAGCATACTGTACTGCTGTCATTTGTGACACCATTTTTGAAACTTGATTGTGTGATGCAAGCGTTTGTGGGTAATTCTCACTTTGGTATGCCAGGCCAGGTCCTTTGGACTGAGGGATTTGAAGCGGCGTGTAGGACTTCCTCGTCGATGATATTGGAACGACCTTGAGGGTATCTTCCTTTGGTGGGAGGGGCTTGAAGGGTGGCACGCCCATGGGCACCGGTTTAGCTAGAGTTACTCCTGGTGATTGTCTTGTGTTCGGAGCTTCAATTGTTGGTCCCACAACAATGGGCTGCATGGTGCTTGAAACACGGCGGTGCAGACTGGAGAGCTTATCCATGGCTGCTTGATTAGGGCGAGTAGCCGGAGCCATGGGACGCATCATAATTCGATTCTGCTTTCCCCGTTTCTGAAAATGCAATCATTGTCTAATAAGTCTTTATTTCATATTTTAAGTCATAATTAACACTTTACATACTATATGAAAAAAATAATAACAAAAATCATAGTTTACTGGAAAGAAATTACAAAATTTTGTCTAAATTTATTAAAAATGCCATATTTTTCAATGAATTTTATCTGTCTTAATTTTAGTAATTTTTATGACGTAATAATTTAGATTTATAGAATATACAGTATATTTTATTAGACTAATAATTTGGAATAAATAGTAATAGAACTATGTGTTCTATAATATATGTAATAAATTTTGCCCAATATTTTTGTTAATTATGTAGGACATAGGTCCATATGGATAGAGTATTCGGGGTTAAATATCCCGAAATAAACAGAGCTGCATTTGATAGATTATATACAAGTTTAGCCGTGTAATACCGACATAGAAGAGGTCATCTCTTCCTTTCCCGTGGGTATCGTAAGAGGTGACTAAGGGAACTTAATGGGAGAGGGATGGGCAACAGCGTCTCTTTTAAAACATCTCTAAAAGCCTAACTACGGTTGCCAACCCGCCAGCCAAGCGTGGTAACTACTGGCAAAACTTCTGAAAAACTGAAATGACGATAATGATAATATGAGTAGTATATTTAAGGTATAGAAGATTATATTACCTCTTGTTTGCCAGCTGGTCGCACTGTAGAGTCACCCACAACGATAGGAGGCACTCCATTCCTTAGGCTCACAGACCTCCGTCTGCTCGTGTCCAGATTAGTGAGGGACTGTTCGAAGCCGAGCTCGTCACCCAAACTGAAACCTAATCGATTGAATTTTGAATACTTATGTAATTTAGAAAATAAATAATACCATTTGTAGAAGGCTAGCTTTTGCCCAAAACATCGGCTACGTAAACGGGACGCATTCAATTTCCAGAATAAAAGTAGCCTATATTCGTCTCTATTTTTTCAATAATGGTAGATATATTAAGGTATCTTCAGGGTCGGTAACAAGCACGTGACATCCCTAGTACTGCAGGCGTCCATAGAGTACAGTGACTGTTTACTATTAGATGGGCTGTATACTTGCCACCCTAGTGGTATAAAAAATAAAACAATGGATAATTAATTACAATATATACATACCTAAGCTAGCGTGTGCCTTTATTCCACCGAGATTTCTTACTCTGAACAGACCGGACTTTTTGAAAGCGCAGTTTATTTTGAACCCGAAATCTGAGTCCAGGACGCATGTTGGTTGTACTATTTCTGTAACAAAATAAAATGAATAATTAGTAATTATTATATTTAAAGAAATTACGAAGCGAATTCTAAATTTAAACGCACGATACTTTTCAAAATCGGTATAGAAACTCTCGTATTCGTAAGTAAGGTATTAGTTTTTTTTTTTAATATTTTTAGCATCCTGACACCCACATAATGCTATAGCGCACAAAGTATAGACATTTTAAACACAAAGGAACATGTTTGACCTTGAGAATATATCCGTTCAGTTGTCAAATTGGTATCTGTAATAACTCATATTATTTCGTAACTATATACACCGTGATTATAACTTACTACTGTGAACTTATAATCATTAACGAGTCGGTTTGTAAACGAGTTTTAAGGGAAAGTGAAAGGGCTGAACAGTAGAGGGCGTCCTCGTTGTAAATTGATCAAATTGGCTACATAACAAAAACAGTTAACATTTTAAGAAAAGTAAAAGTTTCTTGTTATATGGCCAACGAGAAAAGTTAAAAAAGTTACGAAAACATAGGTCTTATCTGATGGTGTACAGAGGGAAAAAGGATTGCTAGTTATGGGCTGGGGGAAACAAGCTGGCGGCCCACCTGATGGAAAGTAAAGTAATAACCTATACACATGAGCAATATCATGGACATAACAGAGTACACTATTTCGCCCGTGATACCCTCCATGCTTTGCCATTCCTGAGAACTCAGGTTCAAACTGTAACACAGACATAGAAACACAACTACTTCACTGTAGAAACACGAATAGGACAGAGGTGCCCAAGCAAATGAGTTTTGTACAAACTTTCCCTCTGGTTACTGATAAACATAGCTTTTTTAAAGTCAATTGAGTAATTTTTTGAGTTTATCCATTATAAACAAACATAATAAATCAAATATTATCTCTTTATAATAATAGTATAAAAAATAAATTTGCCGAATTCAAATTTAAAAATCGTCTTATTTATTTATTTAAGGAACATCAACAGCGTATTGCATTATAACATATAGGTATAACAAACATTAAATATAATACAATGTTAATGCACATGCCTATTAAAGGTATTCACAGCATTTACTTAAACATAGTTATACAGTACGAGAAAATGAAGTAACAATTTTTTTTTATACAACTTAGAATGGCAAACAAGCTGACGGCCCACCTGATGGAAAGTGGTAACCGTCGCCTATAGACATGAGCAGTACCATGGACATAACAGAGTATACTGTTTCGTCCATGATTGCCATTCCTGAGGACTCAGGTGTTATTCCTCTGTACCCTGTAAATTCACTGCCATATCCCACCCTTCAAACCGAAACACAGCTACACTAGACTACAAATATTTTAAAAGTTGCGTTATTAGTTATAGAAATATACATGTAACACTTATATGAAGCTGGAGAGAACAGCTAGTTTATACATGAATATGTATTGTAAAAACATCAAATAATGGGCATCAGTAGTCAGGATACAGATGCGACCTAGATTTCACTCGAATTCTCTGTTCTATAAGGCTTTATTACCCGCCCACATTGAAAGCCATGTCTTGTCCGTATAGACGCATTAAGATTATGAGTACGTAACGCTTCAATAGGTATTATATTATTTACATGTTTGTTAAATAAAACTTTCATAATATAAAAATGTGAACTTAATAAAATTGTAATAATTAAATTAATTTGTATAATAATTAAAATATTTATTATTGTTTTATATTATAAAAAAAAATTCATAAAGTTTCATTAAACAAAAACATTATTTTAAAATAGCTTTCTTTTTTTATAAGAGTACAAAAATAATACAAAATTTAAATTTAATTTGGCATTGTCATCCAGGTTACCCCTTTCTATCTAGAAGGTGTCGTAAGAGCCCGACTAAGAGAGAGCGAAGGATGTGCAGCAGTGTCTCTCTTAAAACAACTCTAAAGCCTGCCAAGCGTAGTAACTACTGGCAAAACCCCCCCAAGGGGGAGGGTTATGTTCAGCAGTAGACAGTTAAAGGGTGATGTGATGATGATGATATTTCAGACTTAATTAAATTAATTGTTTTATAAAATTAAAACTTTATTTTAAATTTTATAAAGTTTCATTAAATATAAATATTATTTTTAAATTGCTTTCTTTTCTTGCAATAAATACAAAAATAATATAAAAAATAATATGCAATTTGGCATTGGCATTAAGATTTAATTCAATAAGTGACATTTTGACTTCATTATTAAAGTGGTCGCAATTATATTTACCTGAGTAATTTGTTTCCATCGTATCATCGAGTTATGAATTCTATAGTAATGAAATAACTCTTTTAAATTTACGTTTTTCTTTTAATTTTTTATTTTTTTTTATTTTTGAACATCCCTGTAAATTATTGACGCCCATTAATTATTCTCTTTCCGCGTCTAGGGAAAGTAGATAAAGTTTTATTTGGGAAATCAGTTCAGGGTACGATAGGACTGATATACCTGAAGAAGGTAAACGCCCTTACTAATAATAATAAAAAGAAAATACGTTTTGTTTTATCGATCTGATTATATTTACTCGACTGCTGATAAAAGGAGTATAATGGTTTTCGATAGACCCGAATACATTAAACTCAGGGTGTTTCTTATCATGTAGCAAACAAATGCATCAATAGAATTACTATAATCTACAAAAAAATCTACCTACCAGTCGTCCAACGGACACATTTGGACAGATCAATATATCCCGAATGGGGAAAAAGGGATTGTTAGTAATGGAGGTCTAATTGCCCTATTGCTAGCAATATACTCTATCAGGTCGACCTCTACGCGGTTCCCCATGTAAAACATCTTGGTTCATTACTGACGAATTCGTCATGATGGGCCAACTGGCCTGCTTCATCCTCATCTATCATCTCTCACTAGTGCCCTGCTAGCGTATACCGATAGCGCAGGCAGGGTTACTATTTCATTTACATCTATTAAAAAAAACACGTCTAATTGTCATGTAATCATTCAGAACATGCCCTGAGTTGGATTACTGATTGTTCCTTGCATTGTGGATGAATGTGTTTCTAAGCATGAAGAAATAAGTGTACAAGAAAGCAAAGCATATTCAAGCAACATCGTGAAATTGGCTCACTAATTTATATTTGTAAATCACCGTGTCTTGGTAATCTCTTATGGACTCCCGCGATACAGGTTCGCTTAGTGCTGGCTCCAATGTACTCGCGTTATAAATTTCTTGTATTTAATAAATAAATAAAAATGGCGTAAGAGGTACAAAAGTCTACCTACCACACCACTTAACCAATACCTTATGGGAAAGGCCATACCATTAATGTATTGTAGTGAAACTGTGAAAGATTTTAAACAGTAATGACAATATTTTAACTAGAAATGTCATTATTAAGGTAAAACATTCCTTATTTTGTAATACTGCATTTACTTGCAGGAGATAAGCAAGTAATGTAATTATTTTATGGTTACCATGATGCAACTGTTGTTGCTGTATTCTTAGGAAACTATCCAGGAAGTACTAAACGACAATGTGACTGAGAGAATACTGTGAGATTTATATATGTATTGTATTTTTGAAGAATTTAAGCGCTTCTCTATGCAGAGTTTTTATTGCCATTAAGTATAAATTTTGTTTCAGTTTCTTCCTATCCTATTTAAAATCTAATATTGAGAATTTATTAGCAAAAAAAAAAAAACATTTATTTATTTAGTTTTTATTTTTTTTTAATTTATTTCTTTGATAAAGACAAAATAAAGAGGCATAAAATTATTACCAATAACTACCTATTACGATAAATTTATCTTTCATGAATAATTATTTGATACATTTGCTGTAGATTATTGCAGTTATTTCTTAAAAATATAATTATAATAATAAATTATAAATACCTATTTATTTCACATTGAAAACCTTTAAATATAACTCAGTGCTAATTATAGTCACAGTATCTCTCATCATATCGTCATAGTCGTAGAATACCGACGGATCTGACAAATATTACATATATAGATCCGTCAGTATTCTACGACTATGACGATATCATGTTAATCATCAACTGTCCACTACTGAGCATGGTTCTAACAATACTACCCATACAAAGGCAGAATTGTCTTGTACATAAATAAATTGAAAAAGATATTATTTTATCTATTCTATTAAAAAATTAAGATTATTTTAATTTCAATTATTATAGTTAAAATTCATTAAACCAATGCCATCGTCATCATATCAGCTGTTGTCTGTCCACTGCTGAACGTAGACTCCTTATGGTAGTATGGAGTAACTCCGTAGACTGCCATAAGGGGTCTACAGGGACATTCCTTATAGCAATTTACCATTGGGAGGATTTTGCCAGTAGTTACTATACCTGGCAGGTGAATTGGCAATCGCAGTTTTTTTTTGCCTCCTGTAAGAGTGCAGTTTGTTCCCGGATTTTAATTTCCAGGTTTTTTAGCTAATTTAATTTCCTTCTAAGTTTTCCTCACTCTTTATTACCATGTTCCCTTCATTCCTCATTTTTCATTCCACTTTTTCTCCTTTGTGGTAACAATCTTATTGGTGGCAACCGCAGTTTGACTTTTGGTAATGTTTTAAGAGGGATGCTACTACCCATCCCTCGTTCCCTTTGTCGTTTCTTACAACACTCACGCTAAAGGAAGGGGTGGGTCATTCTATGCCTGAACCGCAAAATTAATTTAAAATTCATAGAAACCAATATGTTATGAGTACTAGAATATAATTAGTGGAGTTCACTGTGTTATTTATATTATGACTTTAAAACGTCAGCAATCGAATTTATTTATATCCATAATTATACACGGTACGTATAGAAAGTGAAACTTCTCGATGTTTCTATAAATACAAGTGACCGTAGAAAGTTTGTAATATAATTATTTATAACTGTATATATAATGGATAACCTTGCACTGTGGGTTATAACTGTAGACAGATTGAATGTCATGTGTCTACCTAAGTCAATCATTCAGGAATATATAATAGGCTTAGTATAACGGAGTGCATGGTAGCTTTCTTTGA